TTATCATCATCATCATCATCATCATCATCATCATCATCATCATCATCATCATCATCATCATCATCATCATCATCATCATCATCATCATCATCCAGTGCCAGATCTGAGGCAGAAATCGGTGATCATGTTTCTCCATTCATTCTTTTGCTCGGATGCTCTTATAAAAGCTACGTTACCCTCATCCTTCCTCGTTACCCATTTGTTTAAGTTCCCTAAGTAGATTGTTCCAGGCCTACCCCCTTCCTCGTTTGCCTTCTATTTTGCCAGTGAGAGCTTGATGTTTAAGACCTCTTTGCATATTGAGGCGTCCCAAAAACTGCATTTGTTGTTTCCTGATTGTCTTTAACAGTGAGCATTCCATGTGGGCTTCATCAAGCACCTTTAGCACACATATTATAATAAGCTCTTGAATTACGAGAGGAGTTAATAAAAGAGAGTATAACAACATGAGTTTTAAAAGCTTGAAGAACCATTACTTCATATCTGTTTAACTGTTGCTTTATTATTGTTTGATTCAGTGGGAAATCGAACAAAAGAAGTCACTTTTCACTTGAGATTGCGGGTTCGGGGTTAGAGCCTCAACTCGGTCCGACGTTGTGTCTTTGGAAAATGCACTTTACACAAATTTCCAACTTGGCTCTGTCCTTTCGGAGATGGACGTTAAACTCGGAGGCCCCGCCTAAAAAATAACCTAACAGTGTTTGTTGATAGGGGCGTTAAACCGATACCATTTCATTTCACCATAAGAAATCAACCAATAGTCAAACGAAAAGAAAAAAAGCCATGAGTCTACAAGTTTTTAAAATCAATATCCTCTCGGTTATCATTTTTCTGTGACAATGCGTACGTTTTCCCGTACACATCCGAGTCAGCTGACTGAACACAGAACGTGCCCGTGTACTGAGAGAAACATGACTGAATGTTTTTTAGTTCGACAAAGCCAGTAGCGTTTTAATAGAAAGGTGTTTAATTGTACCTGTATACCAGAGTCCATCAGCTGTTGATTTTTTTTTAGGGCGATGATTAATTGGATGTATTATAACGAAGCCGCCTATAGGCTGCTACTGTCACTGCCGCTTGGGCTACGACTGCGACAACGACAACAACAACAATAACAACAACAACAACAACAACAACAACAAGAACTACTACTACTACTACTACTACTACTACTACTACTACTACTACTACTACTACTACTACCTGCCCATTCTGCTATGTTGTCTTCCAATCTAC